GGGATTGCGTAGTCGGGCAGTCTCGACTAGAGTTTTTTTACTTGTTTCATTTTTGGGTTCTCTGACCGCATGCTCTTTTTTGCCATTTGCCGAGCCGACGGAATATTAATTAGTTTTAATATATTTTAAATGCAAGCTCTGCTTCCCTAATTTCCGATGTCATTTGCTGATTGCTACAAATATATTCCTTACAAATAAATTTATTTGTGTACCAACCGCATAATGCGTGCAAGTATTTGAAGAAATTGTTTGATGATATCGATTCAAGTCCTGACTCAAATTCTTGGTCTCTTTGCCCGGTCTAGATGATTTTCTAGAATATTAATTTACGTCGTAACAAAAAGAACTTGAATTTTAAACCTAAAATGATAATTTATTCTATTATTAAATGAAAGTGACTATAAACTAGCACTGGCGGAAATTGCAAGCACTGTGTTGCACCACCTTAAACGCCTGCATATTTAATTGTTTAGATCTAGAAACCCGCGGTTGTTAACCGGTTTTTTTTAAGAATTACAAGCTGATGTAATTCAAACTTGCTATTGCACACTAGGTCAAGTATATGCTTGATTAGGGCAGATAAACTGAATCTCTTTAATAATTAATGTTCCACAAGTGCACATGCACCAACTAAGGGAGTGTGTGGTGTCATAACGCCTTGCTCGCCCATAAGAGATAAGGTAACAATATCTGAGTAGTACTTTGGTGAATGATAAGGGGTCGCTCGCTGGCTCGCTCTGGCGTCCCAAAACAGCCTATGGGAACTTGGTACAATTGAACCCATCTAGTGCCGTTCGATGTGCACCTGTTGCTTTAACTCTCGCCGTCCCTTCTCCCCTCTCTTTCTTCCATTATTCGATAAGATTAATAAATGTATAAAAATATAAAACCTCTATATGTTTGAATCGAATTTTGTTTTAGGTGCTCACGCACTAAGGTGAGTAATGGGTCAGTCCCAACCTCATACAAACACACACATTTCATTTCATTTCATTTGACAGTCAATTTTTGTATTTAAGCTTTTTGCTTTTATGGCACAATACATTTTTTTTACTTTTATAAAATGAGATTATCAGTTATGCGTAGACTTTTATTCACATATAGATCAATTCCAAGATTCTATTTTTATCCATTTGCAACAGATATTATGTTTTCCTTATCTTCTCATTTAATATACAAAATACAAAATAATTTAGTTTTTATTTGCGTATAGTAATAAAACATATTTGATTTTTATTTTTTACAACTATTGGCAATTATTGTCCGAAGTTCTTTTCATTTCATTTCAAATTACAATTATTGTCTTTTAGAGTTGTTAATTAATATTTTACTGTTTGTACTACGGAACATGTTTTGGCCTTAATTATTATATGTGTACATATATTGTTGTATTAGAAGCGGGTCTAAAGTAAGATCACATTGCTGGTTTTATATTCTACAAATATCTTTTGTATCTCGTTTATGTACAGATCGAATATGCATAAGCATATGCATGCATATATACATACGTATTAAAATCTCTCCTCCCTCTACTAATCTAGCTTATTTCAACTTATCAAAAAGCTTAAAAACTTTATAAAGCTGATTTGGTAAAATGTGACTTCAGTTGCGCTTGAATTGTGCAATATCCCAATGGAAACAATTACCAGCACAGGAACTATTAGGACGACACTTATGAAACTTTCAAGTTATTAATAAGTCACATCAAAGTCTTTCCAAAACTTATAATTCTGCTACTTTATTCTTCCTTCTTCCGCTTTACTTTTCCCTCCGTTTGAATAGTGGAATTTATTGCCTCGATACAATCAGCAATAGTCGGTTCTGATTGGTCCGAGCTATAGTCTTTGTCAGCCAGACGACTTAACGTCAGTATGTAGGAACAGGCCACACGCAATACAGATAGCTTCGATAATTTTTGGGAGCTCGCATATGCTGGTACGGCACGGCGTAATGTTTCATAAGCAGCGGATATCGTATGAACTCGGGTGCGTTCGCGGGCGTTTGCCTCAATTCTACGCTCTCGAGTCATATTTTTGTAGTTCCGCTGCTGCGGCCTTGAGAGGGAACTATTGTGATGATCTTTAAATGAGTCCTCCTCCTCGATGGTGTGCTCCTCTAGGAATTCCGTGGATACAAGGGGTTTTTCTTTGTTGGGTAAAGTGCTCTTGGCGCCCTGAAAAGTCTGATTCGCCAGCTTTTCACTTGCTTCGTCCGACTTGGGTTTCCTGGCTATTAGCGCTAACGGTTCTTCTTGTTCTGGCTGAGATTGGAAGGCTGCGAATGCACGATGCAGTGTTGTCACACCTGGATGACGCATGAAAATGTGCGCAGGATTAGGTAATATTTCACGTGGCAGCACCTGGGCGGAAACAGAGTCCCATGCATGTGCCGTGGGCACGTGTGTGTGGCTGATGGGTGATGGTGACTGAAGAGCTGGGGGCGTCAACATAACGGCTGAATCAGCTGAAGAAGAATAGCGTATTCGTTTCTTCAGTGGACCCGCCGGTGCTACGCTTGAGCCAAGGGCTAGCGATGAACAACAATTTCTCATTGTCGATGTCGGCTCCACAACTTTCGACGGCTCCATACTCTTCCGTTTATTGCGCACCATCACAGCAGGACTTTCGTTGGCTCTATCAGCTTGCGGCGCATGCTCTAGCGGCAAATCGTCACCGCCTTCGCTTTCTGAACTAGCAGAACAGAAGCCAGCATCACGATCATTGGAGCTAGGTGAATCTAAAAGTAATAAATAAACTTTAATAATCATTTTACAGGTTTACTGCCACAGTTGATATAGGTAATTAAGTACCAACCAATCTTAGTGCAATATTTTTAAGCAATATATTCTAAGAAACCGTATGAGCGTTGCCTCTATCAACATAACAGTTATATTAAACAGAGACTCCCCATATGTATTCGGCATCATGATAAGTTTTTGCTTGTCATTCATCTCACATTCTAAGATCTCTGTGAGGTCTCACAGTACTCAATATGATAATCCTACCTATGCTTCGTTTATTTACACTGATAACAGTATATAATGCATTATTTATTAAAATCTAAGCAAAAATAATAAAACTGAATAACATACTTAAATGCAATCTCTTATAAAAATGCTGGCCTGTCTGCAGTTATGCTCCGTAGGTAATTTCTGAAAACGCAAGCAACTGTGTCATATTTCAGACGATCAGACAAGCGGGTAAAAATAAATAAAGCCCAAAAAATTTAAGTTCAATTTATTCATCGCAAACGAAAATAAAACCAGTTTTCTCCAATTCGATCGGTCTACCATTGACCTCCACAATGAAATTGGCAATTTTAGGCCCAGTTTTTGCATTTTTTCAGCGACTCAAGAAGTTTACAATTTCAGCTTTGACTGAACCTTTTTAAAGCATCTATTTAATACGGTTGAATAGCATTTAAAGGCAACTTTTGAAGTTTCAGTATAATTAGTAGTAGTAGTTAATAATTAATTAGTTAGGCTTCGCTTTTGAACTGAAATCAGATTAGTTCAAATCATAAATAGATTTATTACTTTTCATAGATTTTTTAAGTTCCCATTTCACACTTTGTGTGTCTTAACTTCAGCAACCGCACGCACAGACACATGTGACTGTTCTTATTTGGTTTTTTTTTTTTTCTTCTTTTTTTATGCCTGTTGACACAACTATTTATAACCGCATTTTGCTATCTTTGCTAATTTTAGACCAGAAAGCGACAGAGCGAATTTCAAGAGACTGCAGCGACAGGCTGTACAAATAACAGTAGTTAACTGAGTGAAGTACATACACATTCATGTTCCCTGTTGTTAACTAAACAAATGCTGAGTTAACCGACGCGTCGGCGTCTAGGTCAAAACACCTGTATAAAAATACTTACACAAGAGAACATAATAAAGAACACATAACATAATTGGACAATGTTGTATTGTCTAATCTTTTTTTTCGGTATACATTAAACATATTGTCTTACGAAGATGACATGCAATCAAAAATTACTGCCAACACACAAGCTTTGCGATTCTGCCTGAAGGTAGTGTATTGCACCATATTTTATTCACTTAGGACATTTAAGGATTGTTTGATATAAATCCAACGTAGTTTTTTACCACTACCCACGTCTTCCGATTAGCGCTAAATAAAGTGCAGCCGTTTAGATATAATTGACCTTTTTTCCTAAAAATGAATGACTGCAAGTTAAAGCTATTTTAAAAAGACACATTTTAAATATATGGGACTGTTGAAAACTGTGTTCTCATGCTAAATGTCAGGCAGAGGTTATCGGACAGAGTCTACTCTGCACTGGCTGCTTGTTAGACTGCTGTCAGGGTTCCGTGTGTGGGAAGCGTGCTCTTATCAGCAGAGGTCTACGCGCCAAGTATAGGTATATAGAGGATGATCTTGTGTTTGTTATAGTAACATGACGAGTCATTTTCATGAATGAAACAAAATAGAATTATAAGTTCACGGTAAATTAAGGTATTTTTATACGTACTTAAATTTAAATTAATTGGAACGCTATACAGTTACGATTCACAAAGTTCAATATCTTCATATATGATTTAATTATTTTTTAATAATGGACATTGAACACATTTACAACTTATGTTAATTAGGCTTGAGTGTCTAATTGGAAATCTTTACGGAGAGTCGCACAGTTGTCGTGCCCATCTTAAATAGATATATTTTAAAATAAAATATGATTGCTTTGAGAATGTTGTGACAAAAACAAATGCCCTAAATGCAAAAACAAAAGGCTATTTACTGCTCAATCGGATTAATTGAAGAAACATACAAACATATCTGAGAGGCTGACAAAGCTGCACCGTCGCGACGCGTCACGGCAGCCAACCAACCAACCAGCCAACATTCTACCCCACTCTGTGCGAACCTAAGGGGGACGAGGAGTCCCAAGGCGACGGACAACTGTACCCCAAAACTAAATGTGATTTCCAACGGCGCCCCTTTTGGTTGGCGCCGCCGGTTTCAGTGCTGCTCTTTCGTCTGGTTGTGGCAAATAACGTAACGCAAAAATATCAGAAGAGTAAAGCGAGAGTGATTATTCCACTTTAAAAAACATTTTGAAAACAAAATAGGATTTTATTGGAGTCGTGCTAGACAAATCGAAGCCAGCCGTTGTTTTCATTCTATATATGTATGTACATTTTATTTGGATATTTGGACTTCTTAACTTAATACACATTACTTGGACAGAAATTATTTACAGTTGCTACATGATCCATGTTTATTAGCTCGCCAAATCCATATGTGTGAAAGCTTGAGCAATATGGGTTGTGGTACTGAATTATATGAACTAAAACAATATTTTAACAGCTGTTGTTAGTTATTAGTGAAAACACAAGTAATTCTGTTTTCAATATTTCAAAGTGTGTGTCGATTGCTGTTTTGGTACTCTCGCTATATATATATATGTATGTCAATAGTTTGGACAGTTGTATATACTTAAGTGTGCATTTGCACGAGTATCAGTATCTCACCTTTTTTGATAATGGCTTCAAGCTCCGCTGCATTTAATTGCATATAAAGTTTGTCTGCTTTGACTTCCATGTTGTGGATAAATTTATTGGTATTGTAATTTTTAAATTAACGCGTAATCCACAGAACGGGCTTGAGCAATTGTATTTTTCAATATTTCATTTGAAGTAACTATACACTGGAAAATTATAAGATGCATATAACACCGTAAAAATATCGAATATATGTTATTTATATATATTTATATATGCAGCGATTGGTGGTAAGTCACACAAATAATAAAGCTTTACAAGACTTTATAATTCTCTTAGGTATTAATGTTGTTTGTTGCTCACTATATTATTTTTGGTGTTTTATATACTTGTACACTTTTTGAAATATTTTCGCAATTTAACCGCGTTCTCTCAGAACACGTCCGACAGTCAGCAATACAGTACGTCTAATAATCACGGGAGTATATTTCGGTATAAAGAGGCCCAAGCACGCTCGCTTCATACTAAAAACAACACGCGCTCGAACCGGTTGCGTTGCAATTAGAGATGAACACGTGACAAACTGTTCAGCTCGATTGTATGAAATACATGATATATGTATCCGATTGTTCTTTACATATTTGTATCTTCTCTACAGTTTACCTAGCAGTTATCTATATATAAGTTTTTTAATAGGTTCCTCATATACATACATTTCAAGATAAAGATCCGCAGACAAAACGAATATTATTGAATACTTTTACATCGAATTTTATTATTAGAATATACTTCTATCATACTAGATTTTTGCATTTTGTTTGCTTTATCATACAAAATGAGTTTTAATCATTTTAATGATATAGAATTAATTGAATTCTGCCAATTCACCTGTTACCGTTGTTTAATAGCTCCGTGACACAGCTCTACTTAAATATAGGCATTTTAGGTTAGCACTCTTCATATTCCAACACAGCCGTCAAACATGTTCGATGCAACGACGTCTCGTTTTTATGAATGAAACATGATGGCAAGATACATATTTATTATTAAAATGTTTTTTCATTGGCAAAATGTGTGTTTGTATATTCACGTGTCTTCAACCAAATAAAAAAAAATAACATTATTTTTATGCTGTAGTACAATTAAAAAATAATAATATAATTACTAAAATTTAATTTCACTTACAACAGTATATGCAAAATATAATATTAATAATTAGCCTTATTCCGATTGTATAAATACATATTTATAAATTTGTTTCTTGACAACAAACAGAATTTCGCGATATAAATGTGGATATGTACGTATACATACATATAGTCTCGAGTATTTTCGTAGACGTGAAGTAAAATTCGAACTGTATGCTTGTCTGCTGCTGCTGCGGTGGCGCCAGTTGTGTCATATTTTCAACTGACTTTTGAATTGCAGCATCTGCAGCTCTATATTCACATAACGAAGGGACTTTGCCACTGGGACTGACAGACATACATATTAAGGCACAACTGGCATAACGTCTGGCCTCTGAGCTCACTTTGTTTTGTGGCTGCTGATGATGATGATGCCACATGCAAACGAGTTGTTACTGAAGCGACTTTTGCGCCAGTCGTCGGGTTGTCATCGTTGTTGGCGTTGTTGCTTTCTGGTGGTACTACGCATGTGAGTTCAGTATGCAATAGGCGGCATTCTTTAAACAGATTGAATAGTGCGGATTTCTGCGGCATAAGCTGCACAGCCTTAGTCCGACCCCAACCTCAACTTGATCGACCGGCCGACCGTTGCAATAATGCGGGCACATTGTGTGCTTAGTGTGAAGTGAATTATAATGAGTCAGTGGTGCGGATGCTGCGACTATGGATACTGCCTCTTGAAGAGCCAGTCAGTTTTAACGCCGCCATGTGGAATTCCACACAATTGGTCATTTCCCCACTTCTTTACAACAGTTTTGCAACGTTTGCAACACAGACGGCGTCCGCACCAACTGCAGCTTGGATAGCCACCGTGTGCTGTTTACATAAATCTCAGGCGGTGGCAATGGCGGCAAGACTCTTTATTTTTATCAAGATGCATGTAAAAGCGTTTGTGTTTGGTCGCGATGCATAGGATGCTCCACGCAGCCAGTCGCAAAGTCTGTGCGCCCAACTCTATGACTGCCTATAACGTACACAGTTCGTAAAGAGGAGGCACACTGCAGTGTTGGGCCGGGCCACACGGACTGCCCACGCGGCAGCTATTTGAGTCAGCGGCGATAAGTGTGAGGTTCATGCTGTCACTCCCAGTGCGCCCGGAAAACAGTTTAGTTTTTTTTTGTACAGGGAGTCAAACTCGCAGTTGGTGGCAAACGCCTCATGCGTTTTACTGAACTGGAGATGCAGCCACCAATGAGAGCTATGCGGTGGGTATAAAGGCACTCATAATTTGTTTTCAAAAAAGCATGGAGACCTTGCTACTCTTAAAGTGTCATAAGTATTTACAGAACTGAATACCGCATATCTCGATTGCGCACCCGCATCTAATAGCTTGCTAGATTACGCATCAAGTAGCTGGATAATGTACATCAAGTGGACATCGGAAAACATTATTTCATCTGTTTTTATATTTGGTTAGACAGAGAAGAAGCCAGTTAGTGGCAGAAGAGAAATAATTCTAAGAAAATGTTTATGTTTCGCATAAGCATGCTTTTATATGGAGTAGTTCAAAGTAGTCCAGCAGCAGTAAGCCAAAAATTCTGAAATAAGCTGCTAATAACGTCGAGAGTCTTCCTGGGTAGCTCCATCAGCTATTCTTTCCTATGAGTTCTGAGAAGATGTTCAGTGAGGCCGAATTCCTTGTGTAAAAGTAGTGACGGCATATTCAATTAAGGCTTCTCTACTTTGAACCCATAGTTTGTATATGCTCTTACACGCCAGTTATAGGTAAACTTATAGTCGACCATTCTCTTACTCTTGTCGTTTTTAATTTCTACAGTTCTCTGAAAAAGTGTGCACGATATGAGAGCTGGCTAACCTGTTTACCTGTTGCATTCACCAGACGCCGAAGCAGACACAACCCGCACAGTCGTTAAAGCTGGGGCACGGCGAAACTTTTCAACTTATTCTTTCTTTTGTGAAGCTTCAAGTTCAAGGATATTATGTGCATGTCTTTCAAAGTCGTACATGTATGTGTGGCCGTAATTCAATCGGTTCTTGTAGAAAATAAAATTTTTAACCCAGCTAGAATTACCGAAACATAATGTAATAACTGCTGCATTGCATGGCTTTGCCAAGGGCAGATACAATTTACAGAAAGTGCTGTATAAATTATATAGATATTTCAAATGATTATGTTTTATATTTATTTATATAGTAGCGAATATTTCGTTATTTAAATATTTCTCCTTATTAAAGCCATTGAATTTAAATCCACTCGCAGTTCACTACCTGCCTATGCCAGACCCAGTCGTAACTCATATTGTTTCGCCCAAGTCTCAAACGCTAATTGCTTTTAGTCTGCCTAATATAATTACTGACGACTGTTTCCAAGTGTAGCGGACCGACCAATTGATATTTTCCGGGTTTTACCCGGTCATGCAACTCAGAACTTAGAGCACAGGTAAAAGTGACTTCTTAGAATTTCCATAATTAATTTGCACTTGTTTTCCTTTTGCTTTTCTAAATTGTGCACTTCTAATGACTTCGCGCACCTTTTTTTCTCAAACGTTTATAGCTTTCAGTTTGGGACCTCATTGGTGCATCATATGTTACTGGTACTGATAAGTGGGAGATATTGGACCAAACTGGTCAACAGTTTTGCTTGCAAAACAATTGGTAGTCATATATAGAATTATATAGTAAATGTGATAGCCAACCCCAAATTTGGTGATTGGCGAGACTTAAAAGTTTTTTTGATAAATTAAAACATATTTCACAAAAAAAGCTCATGCCAATGTATGTATATAACAAGCTACTACACAAATACTGAGGGACACGAGGTGAGTTTTTGAACGGTAACAATGACATTGGCACGTTTATAAGACGGTTATCGTATTGTGCACATGTTTATACGTGTGATGTCATAGAAGGGGAGTATGTGCTACGTGCAACATAGTCAACCACCTGTGCAACAGCCTGAGCAACCGCCTGTGCAACAGCCTGAGCAACAGCCTGTCAACCAACGAGCTCACGTGTCACGATGACATTATCTCAATATATACATAAACATATCAAAATACTACGGACAAGACTATACTTAAACTTGAGAATATTGCCAATTTCCCAAATTTTAGCTAAAGATTCATTTGATTGCTTCATTTCTAATAGCCAAAAAGACCAATAAACAATTTGAATATCCAAAGAAGACATTTTAATCAATTTATAGTTTCGATTTCTCTGTAAATCATCTCCGAACAGTTTTCCTTAGAGTAAATACTATACATTTAAACAAAGCTGCCATTGACAAAATTCAAAATATCAAGTTGTTGTTCTTGTAACGTGCATGCCCCACTGCTGCAACTGCAATAAACTGTTGTAGCCAACATCAAATAAGTTGTAGCAACCTAGTGCAACATGTTTGAAGCTTGCTCTGCGAGTAGATTTTATTTTTTTTATTCGGATCAAGGACTGAAGTTGAAATTTTATCATGATATGAACAATAGTCTCTTAACAGTAATCTATTTATTCTGGTAACTAGCTTTATTACCGATGTGATTAAAGATATGTATATGTATACACAAAATATGTAAAAAAAAAAAAAATAAAAACAGTAGTATTTGCTTGAATTAAAGTATCAGAATGGTGAGCACATATTTAGCGTAGAGACAGGATGGCGACAGTTTGTAGTTATACTCAACCTCAGCTGGTGTATTCATACGTATGTATGTACACATAAAGATACATATGTGTGCGAGTACGGGAGCGACAAACAACACATGTCCGCGTATTGAGACCTTCAGACGGCGTCAGCTTGACTCTTGCGATTTTTCATGGAAATTGCACAGTCGGCAACCGATGGCACATATGGTGACCATAACCAGAAAAGAAAGTCTACTTATACCTACGACCTTTCAGCATGCAAAATGTGTGCATTTTTTCAAGCGCTCTCAAGCTAGGGACCGCACCGCGCAGCCTTACAGTTTTCTTTTTTGGGCTGAATGCGTGAGAATATTGTTGGGAAATTTTGGTGTATTTTCGTGTGTTTGGAGAATGGATAAGTTCCATGTGTTAAGTTATTGACTTGGGTTTTCTCATGTAAGTATGCCACAGTGTGTAGGAAAAATCCTAATTGCCAATATATGGGATATGTCCATACCAACATACACACAGTATGCCTCAATCAAATAATTAAATATATCAGACAGATTGGGAGCTTATACGGATATGCATGAATTAGGGACAAGCAGAAGCTTCTCTGAACAACGTGACAGCCTCAAGCCAATTTCGAGGGCGAGATTGCCAATCAAATGCATGCAAACGTCTCGGTGCACAATTAGATACCAAAACTTATGCTATTAATGTCCAAAATTTGCAACCAATAAGTGGGTATAGGCACAAGCTTGTCTCGTAGAAGCTTGCTTGGCACGCAATGTGCTGAAATAACCATATTCTTTTATAAGGCCAAAAGCAAGTTATTTCCCACGCTTTTAGAATGCAGAACACCTTCAAGCTTATTAGTAGAGACGGGAGAGAAAGAGAAAATCAGGCAAATGCTGTGCACTTTTCATTAACGACTTGCCGACTAACCTCCATCCTTTCTTATCGACTACTGTGTGCCTTCGGTCAGATTTAAATTGCGCAAGTAATACAGCAGCAAATGGTTAATACGAAAAACGAGATGGCTTGAGGCTGTGAGCGGCAACTGCCACTAAACAAGTTTACTCCATGAGTCACTGAAATAATTTCCAGTGTGGATCTGGATCCGAGCGGCTTATAACTCTAGTGCTCTTGCTAAGGTGTCATATAGTTACCCATCAATAGCAAGTATTTGGTTGACATGACTACAAAAATGTACCTGCTTTCTATATATTTACGATACCTGTTGGTCCGTTCCTTTACTTCCTCATTTTGGCCATGTTGGGCATTGTCTATGTCTTTTGTCCCTGTCATAAAATGGCAATTGTTCAACTCTGTTTTGGTGCAGAGATTGACAGCGATAACACACAGAGAATTACTTAAAGAAGATTTTGGCTGGCGCCATACGCACAGCAGGGAATCTCAGAAAGAGAAATAGTCTGAAAGGTCAAAGTTACAATGCTACTCTTCTTACAAACATCTTTCCACCGAATTTGGCGCCAAATGAGAAACTGTTTGTGTGGCAGACGGTTGAATATCAAGTTAAGCAACCACCAGCAACCAGCAAAGTGCAATCAAAAATTTAGCAAGCCTGAGCCAGATGCGTCATTGTGGCCTCGCCTCAATGTTGACACATGCCACAAAACGTGTATGGCGGTCTGTTGGCCAGTCCTTAGCCACTTGTCGTCGAGGCTACAACTGGTTTGAATTCTTAATTTGCGTGCTGGCCGAGGCGAGGCTCACACAAATGTACCTTAGCTGTTGTCCACTCTTTTTTGTCTGTATGTAGAGGATGCGCTCTGCTCAGCTGGCCTATGTCCCCTTCAGATCGTGTCAATGAAAAGGTGCAAAACAACTGCCCCTGTTAAAATGCCGTTGGACACTCAGCGTCATCTTGCCTCAACTAATTGCCGAATGCGGTTAGACTTGTCAGGTGTTTTTATAGAAGTCGTTTACTAAATCGATTCTTTGGCAGTGGGTTATCTTAATATAGCTTACAAACGGATTAAACAACACATGGGTATATATATAAAAATATCCATATTAGCCAGGTCTATTTTGATGAAATATTTAAGCCCAATTATCTACAGATTTTTTTCCCAACTTACTAAGTTTAAGTGCTTCCAATCCACCTTTGTACTTGTTATAAAGACCAACCTCTTGATTTAGAACAGCTGTTTTTTCTGTACTGTACTGTAATCACTGTAATAGCTAAACATAAAATAAGCACACACCTGCAAAGCAAAAAACCTTCAATAAGAAACGAACGCATTAGGTCTACAGCTGCACAAATAAAATTTTTCTTGAAATTCGGTTAACTTCCATTCCGATTTTACAACTATAAAAAAGTCATTGATCCAGCTTGTTATATTTGAGGTACCATTATAAATTCAATTTAGCTTCGAAGTGTCTTGCTTCGCGATTCTCTTATATAGTGTGAGTAAATTACATAGACTACGTTTTCTAAGGAAATTGGATTCAAAAGTAGAGGATATATCCAAGTTAAATATTGTAGTTTGGCAGCTTCACATCTTCAAAAATATTTCCTAGTAGATGAACAAAATTTGTAAAACAAAAGTATTCTACAATTTATCCGCAATTTCTGTATGATACATTTGAAATTGATCAATTTAATCAATATTTGGCAACGGTAATGTTCCTTACCTGAATTTCCTATGATTTCTTAATTTTATATTCCTGCCAAAGGAATCGTTTATTTACCAACACAGTCAAATGACATTTACATTTATACATAAAAAGTATAAGGCACATGGCAGTTTATTTTAATTTGCGTGCGTTTCCGGCAAAACGACTGTAGTTGGGCCATAAGTTTTCGCTTTCACCCACAGCTGGCAGCTGCTGAAGAGATTTTTTTAAAATATGGAACACAGCGCACACATTCCCATTTCCTACAAGCTTCAACACGCACCGATCACCACATTAGAAGCACGATTGGGGCGACAGTTGTGGTTTTGTTCGTGGATGTTAAAGAACTGCTAGGGTGAGTTATACATATATATATATATAATTATATATATGTTTGTATGTTTATAAATATATGTATATATGCGGAACAGAATCGTTCCTTTTTGTCCGTAGCGTACATTCAATAAGCAACAATAATTGTATGAAGGAATCATCATAAAAGAAATTACTTAATCTGTACCGACATGTTATGTTAGTAATCAAACTATATTATATGATTGTTTATGATTTTATACTAACTTATCATTTTATAATAATCCCATATTCCATATATAATATAATAAGCCCCCGAGACCGAAATTGCGACAACGTTAATGTATTCGTAAACAATTTACATTACAAATTAATTGTCTCTTAATCTGTTTTTATGTGGTGTGAAAATATATAGTCGTCACGAATTCGTCGTGGCTGCCTTGGTGCACAGCATTTCTCTGGTGCTTCTTGTCTGCTGATGTGGTCGTCGACAAATTATGACAAACTGTGTGCAATAATTTTCCTCATGTACACATACTCACAGGCCATGAGGGCTATAGAGCCCCCACATTTGTTTATGCGCTTTTTTACCCAGGGTTGCGCCTTATTGACCGTTAACGCTGAAGCGATTGGACTTTGTCCATAAATTGTCAGACCTTAAGTACCTGGAATGTATATTTTTATTTTAAATCTACTTGTTCTTAATAAAAACAATTGAGTCGGATTATTTAAAAAAATACAAAATCAGTATGAATATCTCATAGAATAATTCGATTCACTTAATGGAATGCTTGCGATTGATAAGTCGGGTGTTCTGTTTACACAATCTAACTAAAGATAACCCAAAACTGAATGCCAATGTCTAAGCCAAAACTTAATATAACACAAAGTTCTGAATGGCAACAACTCAAAAGTTAATTAAAAGTTTTTAAAAACAACAATGTTAAATTAAATATTTTAACCATTATTTCTAAGGCGCCAAATTTTTAATTATACATTTAAATCGCATTACACCACAGTCTGCAAATCAATCGAATCGCCTAGCCACCACAATTTATCGGTGAACTATCGGGTAGTTCACTCTCAGCTCGATTGTTTTTCATTTACTTTCAACCCATTGTTTGATTTTATAGCTGAAGAATTATTTGCTATTTCCATCTTTGGGAGGAAATTTACAAAAATGTCAACTGCCCAAAGGTCATTTGTGCAGAAAATGTCAAAGTAAGTTAAAGCTGTGGACTTAAGCTTAACTTTTAGCAACCGCACCCTTTTAGTGGATGCGGGGGCCATTTACAAAGCCATATTCATATGTACCTTTTTTTACAGACAACCGGCAGCTGATGTCCGAAAAAACATAAGTGTACATATGCAATCTAAGACCACCAGCTGCACATCGATGTGCTCATCAACAGTAAGTTTTCAAAATTTTAAAATCGTTTTTATGCTCATACTAAAAGTACAAAATATTTAGCTGTCCCTTACTGAACCGCTTGATTATGAGGAATTTCTTATTCAACACATGAACACTATTAACCGAGATCCATTAAAACATATTTTGGATTTTCCGCAAGGAGATGTATCAGTCAAGACCATACCAAGAAAGATTCGCACAGTAGATCACATTTTACCTAATGAGAATATGTAAGCTTTTGAGCATTCAAGTGAAATTTAGTATATAATGAATGTGTTTCAGATCTGAATTACCAAAGCACGTACAGGAGAGCATTCGTTGTTACACACGTCCTTGGAAAGTTGTAGAATACGCACACCGCCATTACTCAAGTTCGTCTTGTGCACGTGAACGTATTGATCGCGACATTACTAGCCCTTCGGCGTACCAGCAAGAGTTTGAGATTGACAAGGATTTTTCATCTTTTGACGAATCATTCACCGACAAAAGCGAAAGTTGCACACCGAGCTCTAGACAATCTATAGCTAGTTTAGCTTCAGTTAGTTCTTGTACCGATACGCTAACTCCTCGTAGCTCTTGGGCTAGTTTTGATTTGCGGCGCTCAGTTAATGATCCTCTTATTCCAAATTTATTGGATAATGTGCCGCCAGATCAGATAGATCAATTGAACGAAATGCGTCGTCAAGAAGATCGTCAAGGAGCTTTTTTTTCTCTTTATCCAGAAATTGAAAGTGAAGACGCTATTGAGCGCCGATTACAAGCAGAGTTGCCAGTAGAGCACATAGGTCATCGCATACACGTTAAATGCCTTCAACTCAGATTGGAGCTAGAGGTCGAACCTATATTTGCATCAATGGCCATTTATGATGCCAAAGAACGCCAAAAAGTATCTGAAAATTTTTACTTTGATATGAATTCGGACAGTCTAAAACTTATGTTGTCAACCCATGTGCGTTGTGCAGATGTTAGCACACAAAGTCGTTCGGCTATATTTGAAATTTCTTATCCAAGTAATGATTTATTTCTTGTTATAAGACTTGAAAAAGTACTCCAAGGTGACATAAATAACTCTGTAGAGCCATATCTGAAAGAAGACAAGGAAAAATACAGAGAGAAAGTTAAATCTAATGCAATGGATTATTGCGAGCGTCTTGGAAAATATAGAATGCCTTTTGCATGGACGGCTATATACTTGACGAATATTTTCAACGGCGATAACTTTGAGAACAAGGATTCTTGCGCTGGCGATAGAGAATCGTCTAACAGCGGATGTAATACCGTTTTAGGTTCTGCCGCAAGCTCCAACAGCTTAGATCGAAAGTCTTCTACTAGCAGCTTTGATCAGCTTCGCAGAAAAGCTAATGATATGAGCGGTACTCTTACAAGACGTGGATCACTGGAGCGCAAAGAAAAACGTCGGTCATGGTCACCAGATGATTTCGCCAATGTTGTTGAAAATTTTCGTCCTATTACCTTAACAGTGCCTAGTTTCTTTAAACAAGAGCCTGATAAAATGAAAGATGAAGACTTATACAAAATCTTACCGGAACTGAAGCGGCCTAGTACGGTTATAAAAAAATATAAATGTATTCCGGGCTCTATAAAATTGGAAATATCCCCATGTGTTGAAGATGTTACAAATGCGTTAACGCCAGAATTGGCTAAAATCGAACCGCACAGTGGAGATAACACCCGTCCAATCAAAGAAATATTGGAGTTTCCTCTGCTTCCAATTTATAATCCACACTATAGCTATCGTAATTTGCTATTCGTGTTTCCCAAAGAGCTAAATTTTTCATCACGTGCAGGTTCCGCACGTAACATTGCCATTCGCATTCAGTTAATGTCAGGTGAGACGATAATTTACGAAAAACAAATAAAAATGTTAAATGTACAAATTAATTATTTGCAGGAGAGACTCAAGCTGATGCAGTCAATGCCATTTTTGGAAAATCGTCATGTCCAGAATATGCAACGGATGTATTTACTTGCGTCAATTACCATAACAAGTGCCCTTCATTCTATGACGAGATTAAGATTGCCCTGCCCGCTTCTATCAAAGAGCACCATCATTTATTGTTTACTATCTATCATGTGTCATGCCAAAAAAAGCCACACGAGCTACAACTTCCGGTGGAAACTCCCATCGGCTACACCTGGTTACCACTTCTTGAAGATGGGAAGCTAAGAGTTGGCGAATTCAACCTACCTGTCATGGTTGAGGCACCCCCGAAAAATTATTCTTTTATACCACCAAATGTTCACCTTCCTGGTATAAAATGGCTCGACAACCATCGCGCAGTATTTTCAATTAACATTGCAGCTGTCACTTCAGTTCACACCTTGGATGCGCATCTGGACAGATTCTTTTTGATATGTGAATATTTAGACACCCGAAATATACCTTCGCATATAGGTGAAGGCAATATGGAAGCTGAATTAAAAAAGTGCTTGCTAGATATTGAGAATGCCAATCGAGAATCTCTTGTAAAACATTTGCCCCTGGTGCTAGATAAACTTATTGAATTACTAGTTACTACACATAAATTAGGCGGACAGCCTTTGTGCTTAAGCTCGACAGTGTTTGAAGTCCTTTGTTTGGTTTCTGCACATTTGTCAATATTAAGTGATGTAGACCAGTATGGACCTCAGAGTTTGTTTTCCACTTATGTCCAGTTTCAGTGCAAAATTCCACATCCGTTGATGACAAAACGGCACATAGCCCGAAATCCTGCAAATGAACTCTTATCCAAAGAATCATATGATATTTATGATACCTTAAGCACTAATCCTGCAGGTATGTAATCTATTAGTTACATTTAATACAAGTTTTAACTTAACCGTCTTTTAGATCTACAAAGTGAAGCACATTCGAGTGCAGAGTTAGAATCCGACATGACTGTACGCTTGCTTCATGAAGAGCTTGCTCTGCAGTATACCTTGTCTAGTGGAAAAGCCGCTGATTTGGCCATGACTAATTCATGGTTTCTTTTTGAGCTTATTGTGAAATCTATGATTGAGCACTTAGACAATTCGGGTACCTTAAATGCTCCACGGAAACGCCGTTTCCCACAGCAATTTAATGACGACATTGCTATGCTGGTTGAGATTGTAACTAACAAAGTCATGGAATATCACAGTACAGACCCAAGATTAGCTCAGTCATTAAACGCTAGTTTAAGCTTTTTAATTTTTGACCTATTGAGCATTATGGATCGCGGATTTGTCTTTGGCCTTATTCAAATATACTCCAAACGGATAATATCAACAAACGCTTCTGGACCTGAGCTAATGAATTATAAAATTGACTTTCATCGAATTGTGTGCAGTCACGAGCATTTTGTAGCGTTAAATTTTCCCTTCGGTACTTCCTATACTACATTCTCAGCGCCTTGCAGCCCAACTCCCAGCACTACATCCAGTACTAGTCAGACATCATATGTACGTATCAAAATATCATAATACTATATACTATATTAATTGTCATACGCTTTAAAAATTTAATTATTTCTTAGGGTTCCATTGAGCGTTCCTTGCATGCTGATCTTAGTTCTGAATTTCGCCAACAACATTTTCTTGTCGGCATTGTATTAAGTGATTTGGCCACTGTCATGGAAATCCCCAATCCCCATCTGCATGGAAAAGCAATCAACTGCATACGTAATCTGTTAACTTCACATGATTCACGATACGATGCAGAAGTACGCTCGCGAGTAGCTTCACTTTATATACCTCTCCTCTCGATTGTAATGGATACTTTTTCACAACTTCATCAGTATCTATCAGATGCTCAAGATCATGATCGCCTCCAGCAAATGGGCCAGCTTGAAGACTATCAAGGGCCTCATCAGACTATAGCCAAAGCTACCATAAGCCCAGAAGTAGCATATGCTATTTCTGGTAGCCGTGTATACTCCTACATGACAGAGCCATCGAAAAGCAAAGTTCCCTTAAACGCGGAGAATACCCGTCACTTACTGGCATGTTTCCTTTGGGTACTTAAAAATTTGGAACGTACTGTGCTCTATCGCTGGCTACTTGGCTTAAGTCCGCATCGCGTTCACCAAATGTTACAAGTACTCAACACATGCTTAAAAGCTTTCGAGTACTCCGGACAAAAGAGATTGCCCTCATTAAAACGAACTAACACTCATAGTTTTCGTAAATCAGCGCCAAATGACGTAAAAGAAAAGTTGGAAGAATGCATTAGAGGAACAAACTCAGCACGTTATGATTTGATTAATCGTCGCAAAGATCGCAATTCTACTGAGAAACTTCGTTGGCGCAAGGATCACATGCCATATCGTTCACAGTATAGTGAAACAGCAAACAAAAATGAAACAGAGCTTGAAATGAGTCACTTTATTGAAGGTTCACTTTCTACTGAAATCGCACTTATCATACTAGACTCCTTAGAAATTATTGTGCACGTGGCAACCAATCTTCATCACAATCTTCTGGGGACAGTACTAAAAGTTCTATTGCATAGTTTATCCCGCAATCAATCGACATTGGCATTGCAAAATTTGTTTGCTTCCCAAAGAGCTTTGATCTTTAAATTTCCAAATCTACTGTTTGATGAAGAAACCGATATATGCGCGGACTTATGCCTATTACTCTTAAAACATTGCGCATCACAACTTCCAGGAATTCGTTCGCAGGCAGCTGCATCATTGTACTTGCTAATGAGGCAAAACTTTGAAATTGGAAATGTAAGTCTACTAAATTCATATATTAATTTACTAAACCCATATTCTATATACTTCAAGAGTACGTAGCGAAAAAATAGAGTAATTCGATGTATTGATGTACTATCATGTCTTTGTGACAATATTTCAATTCGTAAATATTTTTCCATTTCAGAATTTTGCACGTGTGAAAATGCAGGTAACTATGTCACTAAGCTCCTTGGTTGGTACGAGCGCTTCCTTTAGCGAACAGTCTCTTCGTCGTGCGCTGAAAACAGTCTTAGTTTACGCTGAATCCGATGCAGACTTACAGGAAACTTCTTTCCCGGAGCAAGTTCAAGACTTATTGTTCAATCTGCATATGATCCTCTCCGATACAGTAAAAATGAAAGAATATCAAGAGGACCCAGAAATGTTACTTGACCTAATGAATCGCATAGCAAAAGGATATCAAAACAATCCAGATTTGCGGCTTACATGGCTGGAAAACATGGCTAAAAAACATCGTGAACGAGCAAACCACACAGAGGCGGCAATGTGTTATATACATGGGGCTGCATTAGTTTCGGAATATCTAAGTATGCTAGAATCGCAAACCCATTTGCCTATTGGCGCAGTAAGTTTTCAACGCATATCACCAAATACCTTTATGGAATCTGCGGTGTCGGACGATGTTCTTAGTCCAGGCGAAGATGGAATCTGTCTGGGCAATCACTTCACTGAGACCGGACTAAAGGCATTGCTCGAAGAGGCATCCAATTTATTTCAAGTCGCAGGCATGTATGAAGCTATGAACGAAGTTTATAAAATATTACTTCCTATTTGTGAGGCGAACCGGGAGTTCCACAAGCTTGGAAAAATTCATGGCAAACTGCAAGAAGCTTTTAATCGAATTGCACAGCTACATGTAAGTTGAACATTCAAAATTGACTAGCTTAAAAGTTATTGTTTATTGTTTTCTAATTTTGTATTTACAAATAAACATTTTTTAGTCCAATTATCTGATTATCTTACATGATTGAAATATAGATAGACTTCATATAATATATTTTGAAATCAACTGATCAAATTATTGAAACAATTAAAAATTAATATATTTAGGGCAAGCGAGTATTTGGAACTTACTTTCGTGTTGGCTTTTATGGAGCAAAGTTTGGAGACCTGGATCAACAAGAATTCATTTACAAAGAACCAACATTAACAAAGTTGCCGGAAATATTTAGTCGACTTCAGGTACTAGAATGATGTTACGAAGAAATAGTGTTTTTTTTTTTTTAACTATATACTCCTTAGAACTTTTATACGGAAAGGTTTGGGCCGGATTCTGTGCATATTATTAAGGACTCCAATAATTTCGACCCAAATACATTAGATCCGGAAAAGGCGTATATACAAATAACTTATGTCGAGCCATTCTTCGAAACCTATGAAATGCGTCATCGTGAAACTTACTTTGAACGAAATTTTAATATAAGTAAGCGATTATTAAGAATGAGCATGCAATTTTACATGTATAGTTTAACCTAATCTAATATATTTATTTTTGGTTATTTTACTAGAACGATTTATATTTTCAACGCCGTTCACTAAAAGCGGAAAAGCTCATGGGGAATTACATGAGCAATGTAAACGAAAAACAATATTAACAACTGCAAACCACTTCCCTTACGTTAAAACTCGTATCCAAGTAATTAATAGAACTCAATTTCAATTGGAACCGATTGAAGTTGCAATAGGTTTGTAAAAAAAATATTTATTTAGTTTTATGCAATATTTTTCCATTTACCTAAATGAAAATCTGTTTTTTATCTTAGAGTATAAACATTTTTAGTGTTTATAATTTATGTTTAAAGGAAAGTCAATATAATGGAATTATATTTCAAAAAAAAATTATTCCTAGTTATTTATCAAAACAGCTATAATTAAATATAATTTTAAAATGTTTCGATCATTTATAAAATAATAGAAGACATCCAAAAGAAGACATTGGAATTAGCTGCAGCTACAAATCAAGAGCCGGCCGACCCAAAAATATTACAAATGGTCTTACAGGGTTGCATTGGGACTACTGTTAATCAGGGACCTATGGAAATGGCTAGCGTATTTCTGTCAAATTTATCTGACGGAACGACTATACCAACGAAGCATCAAAATAAATTACGGTTGTGCTTTCGCGAGTTTTCAAAACGATGCGCCGATGCCTTGAAAAAAAATAGAAATCTTATATTATCCGACCAAAAAGATTATCAGCGAGAATTAGAACGTAATTATGAGCGCTTTGTGGAACGACTGATGCCGCTTATCACACTTACATCAGCACAAACACAAGGAGTTATAAAGTAAGTCCTCATTAACTGACTAAAAAAAGAAATGAATAATTAATCATACCGTTATACTACTTGCAGAGCTAATGCTTTCCAAAACAAGAGTACACCACTTAAATGGTAAATTATACGATTGTGTCTATCAATGACAGCACCCATTTAATGTTTTAAAATTCTTACTCTTATCTCACACATTTTTTACATGCCTAGTGTGTCGGATTATTTTAAGTAAGTGTAAGTGTAAAATATCTGAAATTAATTAAATAGATATTTTATACAATTTTTATTCAGTATTTTTATATGTAAAATATATATTTTCTAATATATATCTATATACCCCTCGACATCATATTATCAATTTAAAAAACGTATTACAATCAATCATCTTAAGTGCTAAACCACTAATTACTTGTCTAATAAAATAAATATATTTAATAACTTTTAATAATACATTTGATATAATTTTTACTATTAAATATTGGTGAAAAATATAAATATAAAAGCATAATATAATCAACCAATTTACAGATTAGATAAAACATATTTGTGGGCGTTAATTGTAACAATTAGAAAATAATCACATTTTTTATTTACCTTATTCAAAATTATAAGACTTTCTCTTTAAGCCATTGAAAAAATTATCTCTATCATATATTGTGTGCCAGTGCTCAAAATCGAGTAGGGTGTTTGTTTGAATATATGGCTGTATATTTTTATCAGCATTGCACACTATTCGTTTCCACTCGCTACTATCATCATTTGGATTGGTAGAATTTCCTTCTTGGTGCAACGGTTTTAACATAAAATGCAAATCCTGTAATTGTCTTAAAAAGCGCACTGTAAGTAGAGTGAAATGAAATATGTTCGCGATATAGATATATTTTCTATATTTAATCTATATTTAAATTTACATCATAATATGGTAATAAGAAAAGTTAAATTATACTCACTATGTTCATCTTCGAAATTCAAAAGTCGCGCATGACATTGCCACCAATTGCATAATAGAGATAAATAATGTTTTGTTGTTTCTGCAGAGTCCCGGAAAAGGCAGGAGAGGTAATATTCACGAAAGATAAGCGTAAATAGATGTAGAGCAACCTGTGAGACTTTTCCAACTTGTGAAATATCTGAATAATTACATTTTATATATATTGACGTTATTGCAACTCTTACATATTCATACCTAATTTATTATCTTGATTTATCCACTGATACATCATTTGATAAACGATCGAAACAACGCTTAGGCAAAGTTTTACATAGCACTCACAACGGATTTCTTGATGGGTTTTCTTCGCAGGGGCTACAGAATTTTTTGACACGCTTGTGGCTTCGAGCGAAGACATATAAAAATTATCGGTTTTGTTATTACTAGGAGTTGCATCAGAGTTTATACCGACAACTTTGGACAATGTGTCCTCATTATCCTTCTCGTCATCAGTATGTGATGGAAGTGAAAGCATTTTTAATATAAATGCAGGTCTCGCTGTGAAGCATTGGTAAACGAAGCGCACATGATTCTCACACACCGATAACAAAAGTTTGAAACGGCTAGGTTGAAAAGCCAAATCGCTATAAAAGCTTAACTCGAGCAATCCTGCGTACACCTGTATTAAGCAAGAGCTCGGACCAAAACGGTAAAGCGAACGAACCCGATCTGCTACAAAGCAGTTGCTAGGGCAGTTTACACACATTCTTGCCATTAGTTGACTGTTTTGTGTGCACAATAGCATACAAGCGCTGAGCTCATGGAAAACCCAGGGACTTGGACGAGTAAACACAAGCTGTTTCAGTAAATGAAATAGAAGGTCATTCTGAGATTCGGACATTGAATCTTTTACTGAATTCATATAGCTCAATAAACTGCAGAGAAATGAAGACGTGGCTTTAAGAACGCCTAAGTGTTCGACAACCTCGAAGGAGTAACTTAAATTAGTAATCGCTTCGCTCAATATTTTTAAAATCCAGTGCCTATCATACTTTCTTGTTAGCAACATGTATGATATTATGTTTTGATTTTGACATATTAACGCCAATGTTGCAATATAGCGGCGTAATAGAATTCCTCGTTCCATGTTATATAAAGCAGTGGGTTGAATCAACGAACACCGCATCTCTATATTTTGACCTGAGTGTGTGTTAATCTGCCGATGGGGATATAGTGTACAGGTTTGTGGTAATTCTAAGTTCTGGGTATAGAAACAAAATTCTGTAAAGACCCTGCCTGCAGAAGCAAATATACGGTTTATAACAGCTTTAACATTTGCACACTCAGACTGCATTTGCGAGTAATTGAGAACTAATTGTTCTAACTCCATTTCAAGGAAAGTCCGTTGTTTTTTTTGCGCGCGTTTCTCATTTGTGTACTCATACATATATCGTTTGGTTTTTGTAGAACTTTGCTTTGCAAAGTGGCTTTCAATACAAAAATTTTCAATACGGAGCAATCTTCGATTCACGTCAGAATCTATTCCTTTGAAAGTGTTACGTTCATTCGATTTCGCATTCCTAATTTTAAGTTCCGTAAATTCTACGGTTGTAAAATTTAATTCTGTATCTTTAGCTCTGATTTGCTTGAATGCATCAATTATTTTTTCATTACATTCACTTTTCCCATTTTCCGCCTTCGTTAGCCTATCGACCTTGCTAGCTTGGAGCAGCTTGCGTGCCTGTCGGAGCTCGTTGCGTAGTAAACCAACCTTTTTTAATGTAAAATATGTACATATGTGGTAAAAGGTTTTACCCAATATTATACATACTCACCTCGCCTTCCTTAGCATTAGCCTGATTGTTACTATCTGCTAGGTCTCTCTGCAATTTGGCATTTTCCTTTTTGAGTAAATCAACACGTTCCATTAAAAATTTTAGTTGTCGTTCCTGTGCCAATTGACGCCTTGTTTCTGTTGCCCGGCTTGTAGAAGCATCGACCGCGTTGTTTATATCGGCTACCTGAATATCTGTTTTTTTGCCACATTCAGTATTAGGTAAGAACACATTGGTTTCATCTGTCCCAAATATTTCGTCGATGGTTAAATTTGTCGATAGATGACTTCTAAGCACCTCATCATTAAATAATTCCTGAGTGCTTGTAGTGGCATGCAGAGCTTGGGCAGCAAAATTATTGAAGCTGAATTCGTTCTGCGTGTTTGGTGGATCAGTTTTACGCTGAGTTTCCTCTGCTTTTTGGGTAGCGAACAAAACGTCATCGTCGTCATCACTCGTCCAAAATTCTACAACATTAGTGGATTCTCTAGTGCGGCCCCGACTTATACTAATGTCTAGTTTCAGTTTTTTTGCAGCTCCGAATTTATCAATTGGAACTATCCGCTTAGCCATTTCTTTATATTTAATAAACGAACGTGTTCTATTATTTTCTTTGAGCACTAGCTTGTCCATGTGCGAATAAAGCAACAATGCATTTCACACAGAATTAATTATTACAAATATGTAACCAAATGGAGACGATTTTAAATTTGCTTTGATTTTGTTTACAATGAGCAGCTGCTAATAGTTTTAACGATATGTGGATAAATAAATGTTTGTATGAACTGAATCGCAATATGAGCGAACTGCTTCATTTTAAACGCAAATTAGTATAGACAGCAACAGGTGTTCTTTAATAAATTTATGTTGCATTACAAAATAAATCTAAGCGATACATTGCGTACGATAGAAATGTAAAATAAAAAAATATATGTAAAAAAAAATATTCAATAATTACATTACATTATTAACATACTCAAACCCTACACCCTGTTTACATGTTAAAAAACATTGGCACCTTGGAGTCCGATAGTCTATTATCTGGTTCTCCAGCCCTAATTGCAATCGATTGGCCTTTTTTCGATGTCGATACAGTTAAAAGAAAACTCGGTATGAACGCGTCGTGTAATTTTTTCAAAGAGCCGGAATAAAAAAAAACCGTACTCACCTCGTTAAACTAGTGCTTAATAGACCAATATAAGTAAATACAATTCGTGGGTTAAATTCTTTAACTGAGCAATTGCAAATATTTTTTGAGTCAGTTCGCAAGCGCACAGCCTCAAAGGGAAGGAATATATGAAAACAGGAACTCCTGGGCTGTCACCGCGCAACTGCAATTGTATTAGTAATACCGACGATAACACAGGCGCAATATAGAGTAAAACAAAACATACATTCCTGTACATTTCAGTATTTATGCAAACATTGTGATTTAAAAAAGTACGTTTACATATTTGTGCATTTCTATATCTATGACTCAGCCGAGGTGAACGCTGATGTGTATGTATATATGCATAGGCCTTTCTCACACAAGCGCACTCTGATAATTTTTGTGAATATTCTGTGTTTTCTATTTTAATTAAAACATCCAACATATATTCATCTATTTTAACTAATTTTTTTAATTCCTTTTCTTTTGCCTTTGTTTCATATCTTTAGTATATTCGCAATACATATATATATATATTTCTTTTCGCAACGAATGCTAATAAATATTCGGGCGTCGCCTAACAAATGGCAACAAAAACAACGAGTGTTGTGTATTTAAATGCCTGATGGCTTACTGTCACGCACGCATACTATACAAAATGACCAGTAGTAATCTAATGCCTGTGGATTCATATGTATCTGTGAATATGTATATGTTACTCAAAGAAGTCTTCATTCGTTCATTGTGCTGAATAGTAGGTTCATTAACATATTTTTATTGAATCATTGTTTAAGTCATTCACTTACAGTGGTATAAGTATGTTTATAACCTATCTTATTTTATATATATTATTTACATAAAATATATAGGTTCTATTTTTTATAAGCTTCATAGAATATTTAATATTTTATCTACTAATGATTATGTTAATTGTATGCATTAAAACATACAAGTAATTTTTTTACTCCTACATAAAATATCCGTGCTCATTTTATACCTGAGTACAACTTGTTTAACAAGTTAGGTAAGTCGAGGTCATATTACAATCTGTGGTAACATTTTCTTTTGCCACTTGAAATGTACGTTTTCCAATCATATTTGTCCCATGCTGTCGGTGTTGTTTAAGCAAATTTGTGTATGAATAATAATTACTGATTAGATAAATTTATATATTATATGTATCTTTTACAGACTTGTAAATTGACGAACATAAGTCCAAAAATAAGATTATGTTGAAGTTTATACGTGGAAAGGGTCAACAGCCAACAGCTGAACGACAACGACTGCAGAAGGAGCTCTTTGCATATCGTAAGGTATGTATTTACATACACTTTTCCCAGGTAGCTCCAAGACTACATATTGTTAAATGTGTATTTAAAAAAAAAATTAAAATGCTAAATACAAATTAACTAGAATCACAATAAGCAAAATGAGTATTTAAACGAAAATTTTACATATTGATAATTAGTAGTTTACCTTAAATACCTTAAAATTTTTGCATCTAACACTTGACATCAATTGCCACAGACGCTTAATATAAAAGTGGATAAAGTGAATATTACCTTCATATTGGTACGATAAAAATAATTAAAAAATTGGTGATAACGAACTGTACATAATCTATATACGAAAATGTCGATGCACGTGCCATTCAATGTCGACACTATCATCCATCTAGTCAAACTTGGTTACGACGTTTAATTCAGTGACATCACCCAGATAGCGTCACCTTGTATGTAACTGTTTTGTTGCAGTATTTTAAGCACCAAGAACATATATAACGTATACATTTGTACATAAAAGTGTATCGATACATATTTATACTTTTTAGTTGAAGGAATAATGCTTATGCTTAGGGAAGGAATAATGCTTAATGTAAATACCTTCATTGTCTGCTACCAATTTTCAATTTCCAGATGTGTGTATATAAATAATATATTGTCATCAACCCAAAATAAAAATGTTATGTTTTTAACGTAAGCTGGCAAAAAGTACATACCAGGCAACGCAAACGCTACATTAGAGATAAGATAAAGTTGGTTGTTTTATGTACAGCCCGAGGAAATGGGTCGCTGAGAGAATTATATAGTACTCTACATAAATGGGGAAATATATTGGGTGTATCTTGTGGGTACTGATAGGCGCAGTATTTCTAGCTGATAAGATTTCAAAATACAGTCACTACGATTGTGTAAAATGCTGCACCTGTAATGAGGACAAAGAGAATGAATTTTCTTTATACTGTGTCAAAATAAAAAAGGGTTAATAAAAGTTATAAACTTTATTCACTGCTAAATACTGTAATTAACGTTATTCTCTGTATTAACGTAAGTGCTGGTATAATGGTTGAAAAATTAAGTCTAGTATTTTTTATCGAAATAGTGCAAAGCTAATTAATTAATAAGCCGCTTTTATCCAATTTGCACAGCTTTTTCATTTTGTATATATGCATAGAAAGAATTCAGGGTGCACGAAACATAGTGCAGGAGGGTTAATATTATTACTTATTATGAAATTAAATATTTAATTTTTTGTGGTCAGGTTTATTTTTCTTGTCTGATTGTAAGTAATATTCTTATCCATCCGAGTGACTAAGAATATTAACTGACCTAGATTATAAAGAACGATCGCTCTGATGCCAACTACTACTTTCCAAGGCCCACAAAATGTGATCGTAAACTTTTTATTTTAACAATGTAAATCAATGAAATGATAAATTGACAAATAATTTCAAATTTTTAAATTATTTAAATACATTTCTATTCACGCCTTCTCCTGCAGTCAATTAACTTGATCTAAAAGTTAACAAAAGGTTTTTAATTTTATTATGCTGTAAATTTCTGCTTTAACTTTTTTCTTTATTTATTTATTTCTTTTTTAAATTACAGACCGCTCAACATGGTTTTCCACATAAACCCTCGGCTTTGGCGTACGATCCGGTTTCAAAGCTTATGGCTATTGGAACACAGACTGGAGCTCTCAAAGTTTTCGGTCGACCAGGTGTAGAACTATATGCACAACATACCGTGGTCAATAACTCAGCGTCTGAGCTAAACGTTCAACTACTTGAGTGGGTTTATGGCACTGGGCGTGTTCTCTCGTTAACTGCAGCAAATCAACTTATACTGTGGGAGCCCGTGGGAACGACGCTAGTACCAATTAAAACTCTTCCCTTCGACGGAAAATTGAAAAAAGTATCTTCATTATGCTGCTCACTTAACAAAGATCTTGTGTGGATCGGAACCGAAGGAGGCAACATATATCAGTTCGACTTAAAATCTTTTACTATACGTGAACCCGTCATTTATCATGATGTGGTGTTAGAACAAGTACCATCAACTTACAAACTCAATCCAGGTGCTATAGAATCAATACGCCAACTGCCAAACGCACTTAACAAACTACTTATTGCCTACAATCGCGGACTTTGTGTATTATGGGACTTGGACCAGTCGGCTGTTGAACGCGCTTACATTGCGCCTGGTCATGGCCAAAGTGTCGGATTGTTTATCAACTCGACTGGTACGGAATTCAACTGGTACCATGCAGATGGTTCTTATGCCAGTTGGGTCATAGCCAGCGGAGAACCACCTAAAAATGTAAACTATGTTCCTTATGGTCCAGACCCATGCAAGAGCATTAATAGGCTTTATAAAGGCAAGAGAGGGTAGGTTGATGAGTTTTTTATTATTCTTTTATATGACTTATTTTAGTCAACTTATTAAACAATTATTTTTCTACGCAATATAGAGCTAATGATGTAATCATATTTTCTGGAGGCATGCCACGCTCAGCTTATGGTGATCACAACTGCGTTTCAGTACACGGCAGCGACGGAAAAAAGGTCTGCCTTGATTTCACGTCCAAAGTAATTGATTTCTTCGTAACATACAAGGAAGACAGTGACGACGTACAAGTGCTTGTTGTATTGCTTGAGGAAGAGTTGTGCGCATATGATCTCACTGATGCTAAAGTTCCAGCAGTCAAAGCGCCTTATCTACACTCGGTGCATGCTTCAGCAGTGACTTGTAATTATCTAGCCTCTCAAGTCTGTCAGGCTGTATATAAACGCATTCTACTCGCTGGAGATGAACAAGACATTGACTACAGCAGCATTGACTGGCCCGTAACAGGTGGAGTACTACCAGATGGACTCGTAGACTCTCCTGACGAATTAATGCAAGAATACGAGATACTTTTAACTGGTCACGAAGACGGCTCCGTTAAGTTCTGGGATTGTTCTGGAGTGCTTCTTAAACCGATATATAATTTTAGGACCGCAAATATTTTTGGTCATGAAAATCACGACGATGCAGCTGTAATTGAAGGCAATGAACAGATTGATGAAGGAGAACCTCCATTTCGAAAATCGGGTCTGTTTGATCCATATTCGGACGATCCTCGCTTGGCAGTAAAAAAAATTGCATTGTGCCCCAAAACAGGTCAATTGATAGTAGGG